CATAGGTTAGTAAAAACATACAGAGACACAGAGAGACAAGGACGAGTACAGTGATCACTTGTTAGAACAAACAATAAAAAGAGTGGACAACAAAGGACAATATAGAAAAACAGTAACGGGAAAGCATCGACTGTATTGCACAAACCCCAATATTGCACATAACCTGACAGACCCAATATTGCACTGACCCATATTGCACCATTCTATATTGCACTGACCCGCATTACACTAACCCCCATTGTATAACCCATGCCCAACAGACTCCCATTGCACAGCCCGTATGACACTGATAATTGCATCCCCTTTTGTAACCATCATCATTAACTAAACATGATCACATGTTTGTGTGTCCCTCAGCCACACTTTTAAATGACTCCTAAAGGTAGGGAGACTTGTGCTTTCCCTCACAGACAGTGGAATACTATTCCAGAAGCTCACTCCCTGATATGACAGGACATTCTGTGAAAAGCTGGTCCGCCTAAATGGCAATTCACAATCACTTTTCACAGTGGCTCGAGTCACTCGAGACCCGGCACTGATAGACTTTTGTTTAATAAAATCACTCAATGGTGGAGGCGCCAGACCATGTATGACCTTGTAGATTAGACAGGCTGATTTAAATAATTTAAAATTAGCAAAGTTTAAAAACTTATATTTATCTAAAATTTGACAATGGTGGTATGATGAAGGTTTCTTGTCTAATATTTTCAATGCTCTTTTGTAGCATACTTCGATTGGCCCAATAGCAGCATGACTCGTATAGGACCAACTTGTGATACAATACTCAATATGAGCCAGTATCATAGAGTGCAGGAATGTAATCGCTGCTGTATCCGTTAATGATGTTCGAATATGTCTGAAGTTCCGTATATTAACATTTACAGTTTTCACTACTTTTTTAATGTGTTTTTTGAAGGATAATTTTGAGTCTATTAGCACTCCTAGATACCTAAATTCCTCAACATTAGTTAATTCTTGTCCACCCAAGAAAACTTTTACTGCGGCCACTGTTGTTTTAGGTTTACTAAAAAACATTGATACAGTCTTTTTAACATTAAGGCACAGGCATGAATCATTCAGCCATTTTTGTAGATCATTTAAGGCTATTGAGAGCTGATGGGTTGCATCATCAGCACTTTTGGCTTGTGTAAAAATTACCGTATCGTCGGCATACATAATTGTGTCCACATTTTTGCATACGTTAGGCAAGTTATTTACATAAAGTGAAAATAGCAGGGGACCTAAAATTGATCCCTGAGGGACACCCTGTGTATAGTAAAGATAGGGTGACTTACTATTCTTTATTTGCACACATTGTTTTCTATCTGATAGGTAAGACTGTATCCATTCAACGGTTTGATTACTAAGGTTAAATGTTGACAGTCTGGACAAGAGCTTAAGGTGATTCACAGTATCAAACGCACGCTTAAAGTCAATAAAAACAGCCGCAACATAACTGTTTTTGTCTAGATAAGACTTCACCTTTTCAACAAAAACACAGACAGCTGTTTCAGTTGAGTGAAGAGATCGAAATCCAAATTGCATAGGATGCAGACCTGGATTGGAATCATTAAGGTGTTCGATAATAGAGTTAGCAACCCACTTTTCTGCTATTTTTGAGAAGATAGGGAGTATGCTAATAGGTCGATAATTAGCAGGGTCTGATTTATCACCTGATTTATAGATTGGTATCACTTTTGCCACTTTCCAACTCAGAGGAACGACTGCCTGCGAGATTGATAAATTAATAAGATGGGTCACAGGCACCAAGATACAAGGTTTATAATTTTTCAGAAGATTAGTATCAAATCCAAACTCATCCCTTGCTTTAGAACTTTTCAATTTAGAGATTATGTTTTCTACTTCATATTCTGTAATTTTTTGGATATTAAACTTTGAATTTTGAGTTGAGGCATCCATATGGGAGTTGGTGTTGCCAATATTTTGTTGAGAGTCACAAGAATTAGAAAACAGTTGCGCAATATCATTAATGGTACTTTGGAAAAAATCATTTAATTTAGTTGCTAGACTGAGAGGCTCTGATACCAATTCATTGCCAAATTTGAGTTCAAGGTCTTTATCAGCATCGTGCTTACTTTTACCAAGGAGTTTGTTAATATTTTCCCAAATTTGCTTACAATTTCCTTTGGCACTATTAATTATGGTCATGAAAAAATTAGCTTTTCTCATTTTCAAAGTTTGGATGACTTTATTCCTTGCCGATATAAAATGTAATCGATCAGTAGTTAATCCAGATTGTAATGATTTTTTAAGTAATTTGTCTCTGAGTCTCATAAGCTGTTTACACTCACTATTGATCCAAGGCAAGGAATAAACTCGTTTCTTTAAATAACCCTCTTTCTGAAACCGAGACAAAACCCCTTTAATAGAGGAGTATAGTAGATCACAACATTTATTAGTGTCGTCACAGGATAGTATGCTGGACCAATCAAGATTATTTAGAGCTGCAGTTAAACGTTGTACTTGGCTTTTTGGAATAAATGTTTGTTTTATATTAGTGTTTTTACTGACACTTCTCAGTCGCTTTTTAGTTAACTTTCTAGAGAAGAATATGGCATTGTGATCAGACAAGCCAGTCAAGAAATTATATGTTTTTATCATTCTTGATAGTTACCTAATGTAACTCAAGTTCTACGAATGGTGCGTAGCCCCTTAGGCTTCGCTATGGGTATACTCCAGAAGCACCTAGCTTCCCGCCAGAGAGAACTAAATGCTCCAATCACATGCCAGTCCCATCTATAAATAGCCCTCTACGGCCCGTACCAACCACTTTGAACTCAGCCAAAGCCATGCTGGACTGATGGGCCCGTAGCTAAGGGGCTACGCACCATTCGTAGAACTTGAGTTACATTAGGTAACTATCAATTCTACATCATGGTGCTAACGCCCCTTAGGCTTCGCTATGGGTAACCACGCGTAAGCCGTCGGAGAATGTACTCCCATCAGGCCAGCGTAGAGTGATTGGAGCCCTGCCCGAGTTCCCGCCGCACTATCAAGGCGCATGGACTCGGGGCAGGAAGAAGAAGGAGCAGTGTACGAGGCCGCTCCTACCAAGGACGCCTGAGTGACACTGACAAGCTCCTGAGGAGCAAAAACACCGAGCAAGGGCCGCTCCTATCAAGGACGCCCACGCTCAGGCAGGACTCCCGTAGGAGCCAGCAGGGAACGTACCTAGGACGCCTCTACCAAGAGCTCCTGAGGTATGAGAAGAGTAAAAACATACCCCGGACGCCTCTACCAAGAGCTCCTTGAGTATGGTAACCGTTTTACGGGAAGAGCGGGTCTCGACCCCAAGACGCCTCCGTCCAGCGTACCTGAAGCTCGGACTAGACTAACCACAGGTCGCGGGTCGGCCTCGGTGAGTCAGACCCCTGCGTTCAGAATGGAATGGGCAACCGACCCTTCTGCCACGTCCACTAAATATGACCGGGCAAAGGTAGAGGACGAAGCCCAAGACGCGGCTTGGCAGACGTCCTCCACAGAGGCACCCCGGAGCAGAGCTGTGGAGGCCGCGACTCCTCGTGTGGAGTGCGCCCTGAACCCCACCGGGGGAACCAACTCCTGAGCCTGGTAAGCCAAGTGAATCGCCCGAGACACCCAGTGGGACAGCCTCTGGGGCGTCAACGGTGCGCCTCTGTTCTTAGGGCCTGTGCATTCAAACAGCTGATCCGACCGTCTGAAGGAGGCTGTAACCGCCAGGTAGGATCTCAGCATCCTGACTGGGCACAACAGATGCAGCCGCTCCTCCTCCTCGGAGGCATGAGGCGGCGGGTGAAAGGGTCGGACCCTGATGACCCTTGACCTAAAAGCCGAAGTAACAACCTTAGGCAGAAAGGCTGGGTTCGGCCAAAGCACAGCCACACCGTCCTCAGCACCGAATGCCAGACATTCCGGGCGAACGGAGAGTGCGCATAGCTCCCCTGCCCTCTTGGTTGAGACCAACGCCAGCAAGAGGGCAGTCTTGAGAGCCACACACTCAGGGCTGGCCTGGGCCACAGGTTCGAAGGGAGATCCCGATAATCCCTTCAAGACCACTTTAAGGTCCCAGAGCGGGGGGGTCCTCTGGAGAACGTGCCTTTTTCGGTGGGCCCCCCGAAGGAAACGCTTGACCAGCGGGTGGGAACGAGCCGAGAAGGTTCCGAACCCTTCGTGGCCAGAGGTAATGGCTGCCGCGAACACCGCCAGGGTGCCGGCAGCCCTCCCTTTCTCCAATAGCTCTTGTAGGAAGCCCAGCACTCCCTCCAGAGGGCAGGACATGGGGTCCCAGGACCGGGCCGTGCACCAGTCACTGAAAACCTTCCACCTACAGCCGTAGGCCCTGATAGTGGAAGGGGCCCTCGCGCCCTGAATGGTCTCCACAACCGACTGAGGGAGACCCAGACCTACACTGTTAGACCCTTTCCAGTGTTTTCTACAGTAACTTACTGGCAACACTGATGCCAGTAAGTTACTGTAATTCTAGATTACAGTAGCAGAACTGTATTTCATATTTACAGTAGTAAAGAGTTACTGTAAAGCTGGAATGTGGTTTTTTACTGTAAATGACCAGTACACTACTGTAATATCATTTTTTCAAATTTTTAAAAAAAATGCACCCAGGACACTCTTAAAAATGAAAAAGATACACGTTTATTGTGTGTACCTTTTTACAACCAAATGAGCGCTTTAGAAATTCAACATAGAACCACAAATGTACATTTCAGGGTGGATCGGTGCTCTGCCAAGTGACATTCTCCCACCACGAATCTGTGAACCAAATTAGAACATAAATTAAAACTCTGAATAGATCCAACATTCACTGAAACCCAGTTGAAAAACAATATAACCTCCAAATTAGAACATAATTTAAAACTGGTCTGAATAGATACAACCTTCACCCAGTCGAAAAACAATGTGGCCTACAATTGCATCAAATGCCCTATAAAACTCCCTTTGGTGTTGGAGGGAGAGTTTTCTGGTCAGACAAAAAAATCTCACACCTAATCCAAGTTCTTCCATTCAAATTCAGTCAGCTGGCACAGGAAGGAAGACACCCTGCTGTTGACAGTCTCCACCTTCCTCTTCACCTCTGCTCCAGTCTTACGACTTGTGCCGATTTTTGCAGAGAACTTTGTTCCCTCCTCTGGATTTATCCTGACAAAGAATCTTTATGAAAAATAAAAATAAATCCTATTCATCAATATACATTACATCTACATGGCTTGTAACAGTATTGAGACTGTGAAAATTTAAAGGAATAGGCCACCGTTTTTACATACTGAGATATGTTCTTACCTTAGTTTAGACGAGTTCATTTGTACCTGTCTGGTCTTCACGTGTGCCTTCCGTAACGTAAACACAGCACAGACAGCGTTAGCATTTAGCCTCTCTCTTCTCCTCTATAGCTCCAAACGAGGTGAAGATAGAAGCTCCCAAACTCTTCCACGGTTTCCCTATTTAAATATGGTTACGTAAAGTGTTACACTATAAAGTATAATTACACAAAATTAAACAATGTGGCTTTTCTAAGTGGATAAAAAGGGGAACTATATTGTAAGGCGTAATAATACCAGGAGTAATTCGACATCTGCACAGTAAAGTGAAGACATCACTGCGCGGATGCCGAATATTTCTCCTGGTGTTATTACGCCTTACAATATTAGTTACTATATTACTATAATATTATTATAGAATATTATTATTATATTACTATAATACTTAGTTACTAACCCTAACCCTATACTGTGCTGTGTTTACGTGACTGAAGGCACACGTGAAGACCAGACAGGTACAAATGAACTTGTCAAAGCTAAGGTAAGAACATATCTTAGTATGTAAAAACGGTGGCCTATTCCTTTAATATTTTGCCAGAGATGTGTGATAAAAACACTTGCCGTTGAATGAGCTCAAGGGTTGCACATGCAGGCTCCTGGTACTCTATGTTAAAAACATAGAAGCATCCGAAGAATACTGACAACGCATCTGCAAAGCCCAGATGCTCTTCTAAGATGTAGGCAACTCTTCCCTCAAAGCTCACCATCCATTTCATGGCTGAGAGAAATGTGTTCCCTGAAGACAAAAAAAACACACATTGCACATAGTCATACTTTAAAAATTCTTCTAAAATCAAGGGGAAGTCTCATCTTACCAAGCAGTATCAGTCTTGGCGTGGCTGGAAGGGTCATCTCTGCTTCAACTGACAGCTTTGTCGCATTTATCTTAAAAACACACACACACAAAAAGGGATTTCAATCATTTTAAAATACAACCTCAGAGGAAAGGACTGGTGACTAGAGCCAAAGACTACAGTAAATGAAACATTTGATTACATGCATGTCATTTCACTTCACTAGATAAAATGCGCCTACTTACATCTGCCAAAAGAAAGATGGAGTCCTCTTTTTCCAGAAAGTGCATCAGAAGGATGAGAACTGTTGCGATGCCAGTCTGGCTCTGCTGCATGGCTGTTCCGTTGCTCTCAATGTCTCGCAGAAGACGCTGCTTTGACACCTGCTTTGTTTCAGCTGCACAGCAGGAACGTGATTTCTGTGCATATGGGACTTTAATTCCAAAATTGTCCTGAAGTTGCCCGAGCACACCTGGATACCACATGAAAACCTGTAGTTAGCGAAGTTTCTGTGAATTTTAACATGGGCAAAAAATGTGTTAACATTAGCTGTGCGGTAGCCACAATGCTTACAACAATACATCGTCAGGCGTAGACTCAGAGACATTCACCGTTCCATTTCACACACAAAAACACGACTTCTTACGCTAGCGAGTCAACAGGGTAACATTTAGACATCAAAGTAGCTATATGCCTGACTGACTGCTAATCCTCCCGTTCAATCTTCTAGGCCAGGTATATTTTAAGCAATTGTCTAGCTAGCCAATGCCAATATTGCCTTCCCCTCACAAAAATGTCACCAGGCTCAAACTTACAATAGCTTAAAACTGGAAGATAATATTCGTACTGAGCCAGCCCTAGATGAGAGTGATATTTTCTAAGGTAAACCTCATCAGAATTTAACATCAACTAAAGCTGGGCATACACTGTGATTTGAGACACAATTTAGAACAAGCTAAACTCATACTGTGCGTCTGAGCTTTCTTCATGTGGGAAAAGCTCCATAAAGCAGAGGACCTTGATTAATTATGATAGTCAATTTTCATTGCTAATATTTATTCTAAGTTGACTAAAACTAAAATTTAAGAGAACTTTGACTAAAATTAAATTCTGCTTTAGTCAAAACATTAAGACTAAAACTAAATTAAAACTAACACTAAACCAAAATTAAAAATTAATACTGAATCGCACGAGAAATGTAGGAACCCACGATGCAGGTGCTCTCACTGTACGGAGCAAAAACGCACACGAGTGACCTGCTCACACTGTACGAGTGACATGCCATGGATGGATAGCTTGGTCTGTCACATCATCCTCTCAAACACCGTGTCTACATCAATTAAATCACTTTGGCGAGGCTAACTTAGCAACACACGACAAGTAGCCTAGCTTAAATTAGCCGATAGTCACTAAACTTTTGCCAACTTTGTGTTCAGGAGGACGTTATTATCAGTGTCCCTCTTATTATCCCTTATTATCCCTCGCTCACCTCACTGCCCGCTCTGTGTCTCCCGTCCTCCTGGGGCCTGCTGCTGTATTCCCCGTGTTCAAATGCTCTCGTCTGGCGTCAGTATAGTGCTGCCACGGCGCCAGGACCGCACGACTCGCGTCTCTAAAATCACACAGTGTAAGCCCAGTTGTATTAATATTATTATTATTATTAATATTATTATTATTCAGACGTACCGAGTATTTCCAATATGTTGCTCCTCAACGGCTGCTGCTTATGGGCGCGTGGTGAGCTGGTCTGCGCCGGTGTTTCGGGGGTGAAAATGAATGCGCTTGTTAAAGGAGTTTGATGAGCGGCAAAAAATACAGTACCATACAACATTTTTTAAATAGGAAGTAAAATACTGTATTTTGTGGATGTCGTCAGTTAAACTTCCCATGATGCAGTGCAAATTACAGCTTTTTACCACAGTTGGTATTTACAGTGTCATACTGGCTGAAAAGTGGTATATTACTGCTGTTTTTACAGTCTGGTCTAACAGTGTATAAACCAACACATTTTACACAGAAATTAGGCTATTTTCAGGACTTTCCTCTACTTTAGGCATCATTATCGTGCTATTTGGCCTTCAAACACATGTTCAAAGTAGTTTTTTCATTCATTCCCTCAAGCTTTAGTTAGAGAGCAATATTTCTCTCACAGTAAAACGCCTTTGTTCAATTTGTGACGTGACATCAATTTGTGACACGAGAAGTCTTCATGCAGGATGTTAGTTAGTTAGATACTTTATTGATCCTCGTAGGAGAAATTCAGGTGTCCAGTAGCAGCACAAACACATCCATCCACACAAACAAAACAGATAAATTGATCATTAAAAAAGCAAATAGTAATAGTAATAATAATGAGAAACAGCGCTCAACAAACAAGATGTGAATGACGGGGGAGAAGCTGAAACAGTGAATCAGCGCACGGAGCCTCTTTCTGAGTCCAGGGCCTGGTCCATAGACTCTAAATATTGTTGTAGTTTTTTCAATCCACGACGGCTGAAGGTAGGCGAAAATATCGATTTGGTGGATAGTTACGACGCCATTCTCAAGAAAAACAGAAGTCAGGACAAAGACTTCGCCCCAGGACATGAGCATACACCTGAGGCCAAAAGCCAATGGAAGTAACAGTTCGTCAACAAACAACAAGCTAGGCCAACAGAACATGAAGAACCCAATTTGTGGGGGTCCACAAGCTGGACACAAGGAACCTGAAAAACATTTGTGGATCAGCCTCCTCCTCAGCCTGAAGAAAGGTCAGGCCTTGTCTACCGAAAATGTCAATGTGTTTTTAATATTGGTGTTGTGTTTTAGGGGTTGCACATAAAATACTACACACTGTAACTTCATAGCCATTGAATTTGCCTGCACTGCTCACAATATATTAGGCTGAAAGAGATACCAAAGAGAAGAACATTAGGAATGAGGAGCACACAGCACGAGATAGTAAAGATAAGATACTATTCCAGCTGATGCTAAAAGTAGAGTAGAGTACAGTACAGTACAGTACGATAGGGCTGGTAGAAACAGGGCTGTAGTTTGAGAGTTTCAGTGGTGTTGTGTTTCCAGTATTCCTTAAGCCACAGAAGGTGTTATGTTCCCCTTGGCTCAAGGGGAGGCAACAAAAAGGAGGGAGAACACGGCAAAGACTTTTGTTGGCTCACTGGCCGTTTTATTTAAACAATAATATGGAATCAGTGTAAATGGTCTGGGATGTGCTGGGGTGCGTGTGTGCGACTGAGTATCAGTGTGATAACCTTATGTGTAAATGGTGCATGTGTAAAAGTGTGGAGCGGCGTGGCTGGCTGCGTGGAGTGCAGGCCCAGACCCTGTGGACAGGTCCAGGTGTCTGCTATTGGACAAAGAGCCAGAGTGCTGCCTGGGACGCCCCTCTTAAAGTCCCAGCGCAGACACTCAACCAATCCTAACCTGCGCACAGAAAAGGTTAGAGCGAGGGGAGGAGTGCACGCAATCCCATAGCTGGGCGTGTAACACAAAGTTAAACAATATATCAAAACAAATGTATAATACGTGTCCTGTAACCAAACTTCATAATCCCCAATTATAAATACTGCAGGAGTTCATTGTAAGTGAGAGAGGACATGCTTTAAGACGGAGGAGTATCACGTGTGGTCAGAAAGGCCCTGTCCAGACCGGTGTTCTGTCGAGTTGGTCTGCCCGTCGAGATGATCTGGCTCAGCTGTTAAAGGCGCTATACCCGTTTCTACAATGTTTGAATGTTTAGCACCGCCCCCCAACTCGCTCACAGGCTTCTCATTTCCCCTACGCTCTCATAACACAGAGCCATCTAGTTTTATTTGCGATCTGATACTATGCTAACATTAGCATTAGCGCAACTTGTAAGCTGTGCAACAATCACTGATGAAATGGCACTAAAGCAACGCACTGCTAAATCAATATATAAGTAAAAGAATACCATTAGTTTCGCGTCCGGATGTATTAATTTAAACATTAGAATATATTCTAATATTTAATTATAATGTATTATACAGCTCCTCACAGCAGCAGCACTCCATTGACTTGAATGCAATTCTTCCGATCATTTTTTCTTGATAACAGAACTCTCAAACCAATAATGACCGCAGCCCCAATGCAATCTCTGTTTGTAATTCAGGTGTGTAAAATACTGCCATTACTTTGCAAGTACAACAAGCTATCAGCGCCTGTCACTACTACATTGTGCAGTTTTTCTGCACACTTGTCTGTGTAGAGAAGCTAGCGGAGCTAGCCACGCTCAATAAACAAATACATATCAATCAATCAACACCATTAACCGTCAATCGGACAATACAGTATACATATACATCCTTAACACACATGCACGGACGATTTCAGAATTTGCTGTCAACGTTTTCATGACAAAAATACTGTTTTAAAGTGACAAAAAGCGATCGCGAAAAACCCGGAAGTTACCATGAAACAGCTAGCTAGCTTAGCTGTTACCTGCCTAGCACGTCCCGGTGAAACCTTTGGGAGCTAACTATTTTATTTGCAGTCATTAAATACATTTCTAATTATAAGGGTTGTCTAATATTTGTTCAAATATGTATATATTTTTTATTTTAGAATTATATTCGAATTTTGAAGTGGAAGCCCGGGTGTTAAGCAGCGCTGTAGAGGCTAGAGGACGCAGGCTGTTCGCTGCTCGTTCTGTGAGCGGAGGAGAACGAGCGGCCCGCTCAGACTCTACTCAGCACTTTTCACTGCCTGAATTTCATACATAGTGGAATCAATGACCTCAAGTTTTCAATTAAATGATGTATTATGATACAACTTGTATGTAGTAAAAAGCATTTTTATGAACTACTTAGAAAAAAAATCGGGTATAGCTTCTTTAATGATGTAATGCAAACCAGCGCTGCGCGTCTCACGGCAGCCGAAGCAAACCAAGATGGCGGACACGTAGTCCGCAAATTGCTTTAAAAGTTAAATATGAACGAATTAAGACACGAATGTCACTTTTAATGCAATTTGAGGCGAGATGTTGATGGTTCCGCGTTGTGATATGTGTTTTTTAAGAGTAAGAGTTTCGTGTAAAGTTTGTTTTAAGCAGTCCACCGCTCCTGTGAAACAACACTGCTAGTGTGCCCAAATCTGACATGCGCACAAACCCGCCAGAATGGGGATAAAACTCAAATCTAATTAAATATTTTGTTTGAACACACTATTGTTAATTGTATTGAATGCAGTATGATACATGCATAAAATTTAATTTATTATTTCCATTATCAACCAGACAGACCAGTCACAGGACTCGTCATGGGCCTGACTTATGCAGCAGTCAACTCAGAGACTGCGATCACACAGGAGCAGTGTAGTTTCACAGGAGCAGTGTAGTTTCACAGGAGCAGTGGACTGCTTAAAACAAACTTTACACGAAACTCTTACTCTTAAAACACACATATCACAACGCAGAACCATCAACATCTCGCCTAAAATTGCATTAAAAGTGACATTCGTGTCTTAACTCGTTTGTATTTAACTTTTAAAGCAATTCGCGGACTACATGTCCGCCATCTTGGTTTGCTTTGGCTGCCGTGAGACGCGCAGCGCTGGTTTGCATTACATCATTAACAGCTGAGACAGATCATCTCGCCGGGCAGACCAACTCGACAGAACACCGGGATTCGAGTCCAGAACATTCTTGCTGAGAAGCGTGAGTGCTATCCACTCAGCCCACACAAACACGTTATTCTTAAAATTGGAAAACAAAAACATCGGGGTAGTACACATTAAATTTCAAACACATAATAAAGAAATAGAAATGGTGAAGGAGGGGAGTAACTGTCAGTCACAAAATGATCTGGAAACTACAAGTATCTAACATCCGTACAAAATTAGGTAAAAATATAAGTAGATGCAGACGTTTACTCGCTGAGCCACCCTTACCTCATCTACTGTAATGAGGTTTTGGGAAATACCCACAGTAGTAATCTGGAGTGGGTCAGACAAAAAGCGATTAGGATCATTCACAATGTTGGATATAGGGAACACACAACGTTGTTCTTAAAATGCGGTGGCCTAAAACTTGAGGATTGAATAACATTAAGAACTCTGATGATTGTGTATGGGGCGAAGCATAACAAACTCCCAGATCAGATCCAGGACATGTTCACAATCGAGAGCAGGGATACAAAGTACAGTCTGGTCCTACCACCCTCAAGAGTCACTGCATCACGCTGAGAGGAAGCTCTGGGATAATCTAGATAATATCTGTAACCCTACCTCGTTACCCCAGGTTCAGGATTGCAAATGGTAATGAAAATGAGGCAGAGGCAAGGATAAAGTTTAACAAAATGTATTAAATACAAAAGTTAGGTATAAGTATTTCAAAGACAAATAGTAAGAAATAAAACTGCATTAGGCAGGTCGGTCGCAGCCGCACACGGCAGGGGCAATAAAGTATTATGGGGCACCCACTGCAGCTTCCACACACACACACACACAAACACGAGGGAAAACTACAGAAGCGTGCAACAATACTACAACATGCGAGGAGTGTGGGCACTGACGTGAGACTCTGCCACCAAACCTCCACCGGGGACGACCACGTCATGGATCTACAATAATAACTAGAAAGAGTATTACTAGCTTATAGCTGTCCCACCCATGGGCACAGGGGGCGCTGTGGTACTGCAGACTAAATTCACGCGGGCTACCCAGAAAAAGTCCCATAGAACTCAATGTAAACGAAGTCCCATAGAACTCAATGTAATCTAAGACAGCTGGACCTCAGCTGACCGGATTTTGAGGGGATTTTAGTGTTCCTTGTCATCCTGAACTTTTTTCATCTTAAATCCTCGGTTTTCTATAAATCTACACTTAAATGCAAAAAACTCTGCTCGTTTGGCTTCCGCTCTGGCTCCGCTCTAGCTCTGCTCTGATAACCGGGCGCTGATTGGTCAGAGCGCGGCTGAGCCCCTCTGTGCACGTGCATAAGAGCCACACAAGCTTTGTTGGCGCAACGCATCATGGGAGATAATTTACTGCACAGAACCGGGGGGACCAGACGATGCCCAAATATAGACGAGTTCTGCTAATCTCCCGGTCTCCGTGAAGTCCCATGCGCTACTGAGCACAAGCCATTCATGTGAATAGGGCGCCATCTTAGATCACAGGGGCTTGGACCCCGCTCGGACCCGATCTTAGCGGAGGAAATGCAGAACTTAAGGCAAAAGTTGATCATTGACAGAAATGAAGAAAAGGTAATAGCTTTGCCTGAATCTAAACAAAATGATACTCTTACTATATAAAGTGAAACCACCAAACTAAAAAGACAAGTGAAACAAGAAAACTAGTTAAATGAAAACGCAAACAACACGGCATTGGCCAACAGAATATAATGGGCAATTTTTTCTGCAACAATTTTTTTTTTTAAGGACAACTAAAATGTATAATAAAAACCATGACCACTACCTGAGAGCTATAGTGAGAAGCCACGACTATTTCCCAGTGGCCGTGGTAGCAGGCTGCTAAACAGCGTCTGCAACAGAGGGCAGAAAGACACATTCACATTAACCCACGGCTGACAGCGTATCAAACCAGAGAACACCCGGCATTTACTCAGGACCAGGGCAAACGAGTGAAGCCTGACAGCAGCTAACCTTTCTGTGCAAAGGGGTGTCTATAAAACACTTATAATCCTTGATCATTGTCTAACAACGATGTGGCCGAGTCCAAACCACACTCTCATCCATTGTTTGAGGGCCTGCGACCAAAAATGGCGTCCAACAGGCCAGTGGTTCCCAAAGTGGGGGTCGCAAAATGATTTCCAAAAAAAAATAAAAAATGGAACAAATATATATTTTGCATTTGATTGGATTAAAAATGACTACTTGTTAAATTGTGTTTGGAGAAGAGTCTGACAAATATATAATATATTTTAATTATGTTTGTAATTTGGTCCCAGTCATTGACAGCGTCAATCAAAGTCAAGTTATGCAGCTTACATCATGCGCAGCGACAAAACATGTCCTGCTGTTGTTCAATTTAGCTAAAGGTGTTTGGAGGCTACAAACAAATAATACCTGCTTTAAAATGAAACATGGTTGAAATCCACAACAGAAAAACCGGGAGGGGGAGAAAAAGTCACATGTGCCATGTTTCTTAGTGTAAAATGTTATATGTGTGTGCTTACTTATGTAGAATTCTTCTGCTTTTCAAGAATTTGCTTTTATGGCATCATTTTTGTACAGACTGTTTGTGGGGGAGGTGCTCATAAGTTCTTTCAACTTCTACAGACTCCTTTTGAGCAGAAAATATGCCTGTAATCACTTGTTTTTGTTTTTTATAAACATTATTGTATGTTGCTCAAATAGATAATGAAATGTTAAAAAAATAAAGTAATGAACAAAGTCTAAATGCATTAAACCAAAATCTGACTTTTTCTTGGTGAAAAGTGCTACTTCTGGAGGCTGCATACTTAAATCTACATATTCCCAGCACTTAAACATGTAAATGTGTAATGCAGAGAAATGCACAGATGACACATAAAGCCTGTTTTCTTGCTACATGTGCTGCGTGGTCAGGTCCCAGGAGTATTAGAATATGCATTCCACCTCTCCAGGAATCTCTTCCCAGAGCAGAGTGCATGTTGGCCTCCTTTGTGCCGGGCTCAGGCCTACTTACTGCACCATAGATCGGAGGCTGCTTTTTAAAGACGCGCCCCGAGGGTTCAGCCCAGATGGGTTTTACAAAGGGGCTGAGGAGAAACCAAACACAAGTGTGCGGCTGAAACGCTACATTAGCTACTGCCGACTTATGGCTGATTGTTGGGACCAGCGCACGGCAGTTAATGCGCTGTCACGCCGAATTAAAGACTGTGGAGCCATTTTGGGACTCATTTCTCCGGTCTCCTCCCACACTTTTGCTGCTCATGATTGATCGTCCGCTAAATGTTGCTCTACATTTAGATGTAATCAGGGCGGCCTTATCTGCGAGATGAAAGACCTCTATTCTGGGTTCATTCCATTTAGGCTGTCCGCTTCATTCATCACAGACACGTCTCCCCACCTCCATGCGAGCGGCCGTCAGTGCAGGCTAAAGTGACCGTAGAACAACCTCATGAACGAGCCGCGAGCTTTAGAGGAGCGAAAACACCACACTTCAGTTACATCCATCCCACCACGCACACCTCCACCCCCCCAGCATTTCACAGTTTAGTGCACAAACTCAGAAGTGAAGCCCTGATGGACACACCGAGAGCATTAGCAGTTTAATTACGGACTCCAGAGTCAAACACGCTAATGTAGCTTTAAATTGAAATGATGTTTTCACGGTGAGAGGTGACTAATTGGTCACGAAATTGATTATTGCCTAATTTTACTGATATAAAAAGTTTAAAAATAATATGAAATAATAAATGGATGTGCATTCACTGGTTTTACGATGATGAAGCAACCTGTGATATTATATTATGGTTTATGAAATGAGATAGTGGGTATATGAAAGCCAATTAGTACAAATGAATTTGCATTTAAAATAGAGGCCTCAAGCTAAACTAATGTACACAGCTCTAATTTTCAAAGTGATATGCATCTTTACTGCTGTACAAATTAACACATTTTTATAGATAGATACATACTTTATTGATCCCCGTGGGAGAAATTCAGGTGTCCAGTAGCAGCAAAAATAAAACTGATCATTCTAAAAAGCTAATAATAGTATTAATCAGGTCACAGCAGCAGAGGTGGAGTAGCCTCTGGTCGGAGCAGGAGGTCACTGTGGCGGAGATGGATATGTATTAGTACTGTCAAACAAGTTAATTATTTAATTTCATTAAGGCCATTTTCACAATAAATGGCACATTTGCATCTGTTCTAAATGTCCCTTGAGTTGGACTGTGACCAGTGTGGGCGGGTCCCGGCTCCAAAATGTCCATGAGCACGTGAGCTGTCATGCTTGCAATCTTGTCTCGGCCGGTGAGGGTGGACCTGGAAACATAATCCACACTCTGACAACATTCTCTTCTCCTCCACACAATCTGGCAACATACGCTCCTCCTCCTCCTCCTCCACACACTCTGACCACAACCTATACGCTCCTCCTCCTCCTCCTCCTCCACACACTCTGACCACAACCTATACGCTCCTCCTCCTCCACACACTCTGACCACAACCTATACTCTCCTCCTCCTCCACACACTCTGACCACAACCTATACGCTCCTCCTCCTCCTCCTCCTCCACACACTCTGACCACAACCTATACTCTCCTCCTCCTCCACACACTCTGACCACAACCTATACTCTCCTCCTCCTCCACACTCTCTGACCACAACCTATACGCTCCTCCTCCTCCTCCTCCTCCACACACTCTGACCTCAACCTATACTCTCCTCCTCCTCCTCCACACACTCTGACCACAACCTATACTCTCCTCCTCCTCCACACTCTCTGACCACAACCTACAGTATACGCTCCTCCTCCTCCTCCTCCTCCTCCACACACTCTGACCTCAACCTATACGCTCCTCCTCCTCCTCCACACACTCTGACCACAACCTATACGCTCCTCCTCCTCCTCCTCCTCCACACTCTGACCTCAACCTATACGCTCCTCCTCCTCCTCCTCCACACTCTGACCACAACCTATACGCTCCTCCTCCTCCTCCTCCTCCACACTCTGACCTCAACCTATACTCTCCTCCTCCTCCACACACTCTGACCACAACCTATACTCTCCTCCTCCTCCACACACTCTGACCACAACCTATACGCTCCTCCTCCTCCTCCACACTCTGACCTCAACCTATACTCTCCTCCTCCTCCACACACTCTGACCACAACCTATACTCTCCTCCTCCTCCACACACTCTGACCACAACCTATACGCTCCTCCTCCTCCTCCACACTCTGACCTCAACCTATACGCTCCTCCTCCTCCTCCTCCTCCTCCACACTCTGACCACAACCTATACGCTCCTCCTCCTCCTCCTCCTCCACACTCTGACCTCAACCTATACGCTCCTCCTCCTCCTCCTCCACACTGACCACAACCTATACGCTCCTCCTCCTCCTCCACACACTCTGACCTCAACCTATACTCTCCTCCTCCTCCACACACTCTGACCACAACCTATACTCTCCTCCTCCTCCACACACTCTGACCACAACCTATACGCTCCTCCTCCTCCACACTCTGACCTCAACCTATACGCTCCTCCTCCTCCTCCTCCTCCTCCACACTCTGACCTCAACCTATACGCTCCTCCTCCTCCTCCACACTCTGACCTCAACCTATACGCTCCTCCTCCTCCTCCACACACTCTGACCTCAACCTATACGCTCCTCCTCCTCCTCCACACACTCTGACCACTACCTATACGCTCCTCCTCCTCCTCCTCCACACACTCTGACCACTACCTATACGCTCCTCCTCCTCCTCCACACACTCTGACCACTACCTATACGCTCCTCCTCCTCCTCCTCCACACACTCTGACCACTACCTATACGCTCCTCCTCCTCCTCCACACACTCTGACCACAACCTATACTCTCCTCCTCCTCCACACACTCTGACCACAACCTATACGCTCCTCCTCCTCCACACACTCTGACCACAACCTATACGCTCCTCCTCCTCCTCCACACACTCTGACCACAACCTATACGCTCCTCCTCCTCCTCCACACACTCTGACCACTACCTATACGCTCCTCCTCCTCCTCCACAGACTCTGACCACTACCTATACGCTCCTCCTCCTCCTCCACACACTCTGACCACAACCTATACTCTCCTCCTCCTCCACACACTCTGACCACAACCTATACGCTCCTCCTCCTCCACACACTCTGACCACAACCTATACGCTCCTCCTCCTCCTCCACACACTCTGACCTCAACCTATACGCTCCTCCTCCTCCACACACTCTGACCACAACCTATACGCTCCTCCTCCACACACTCTGACCACAACCTATACGCTCCTCCTCCTCCTCCTCCACACACTCTGACCACAACCTATACGCTCCTCCTCCTCCTCCTCCTCCACACACTCTGACCACAACCTATACGCTCCTCCTCCTCCTCCTCCTCCACACACTCTGACCACTACCTATACGCTCCTCCTCCTCCTCCACACACTCTGACCACAACCTATACTCTCCTCCTCCTCCACACACTCTGACCACAACCTATACGCTCCTCCTCCTCCACACACTCTGACCACAACCTATACGCTCCTCCTCCTCCTCCATACACTCTGACCACTACCTATACGCTCCTCCTCCTCCTCCTCCACACACTCTGACCACAACCTATACGCTCCTCCTCCTCCACACACTCTGACCACAACCTATACGCTCTCCTCCTCCTCCACACACTCTGACCACAACCTATACGCTCCTCCTCCTCCACACACTCTGACCTCAACCTATACGCTCCTCCTCCTCCTCCTCCACACACTCTGACCATAACCTATACAGTCCTCCTCCTCCACACACTCTGACCACAACCTATACGCTCCTCCTCCTCCACACTCTGACATCAACCTATACGCTCCTTCTCCTCCTCCTCCACACACTCTGACCACAACCTATACGCTCCTCCTCCTCCTCCTCCTCCACACACTCTGACCACAACCTATACGCTCCTCCTCCTCCACACACTCTGACCACAACCTATACGCTCCTCCTCCTCCACACACTCTGACCACAACCTATACGCTCCTCCTCCACACACTCTGACCACAACCTATACACTCCTCCTCCTCCACACACTCTGACCACAACCTATACGCTCCTCCTCCTCCACACACTCTGACCTCAACCTATACGCTCCTCCTCCTCCTCCTCCACACACTCTGACCACAACCTATACGCTCCTCCTCCTCCACACACTCTGACCACAACCTATACGCTCCTCCTCCTCCACACTCTGACCTCAACCTATACGCTCCTTCTCCTCCTCCTGCTCCACACTCTGACCACAACCTATAAGCTCCTCCTCCTCACACTCTGACCACAACCTATAAGCTCCTCCTCCTCCTCCTCCACACACTCTGACCACAACCTATAAGCTCCTCCTCCTCCTCCTCCACACACTCTGACCACAACCTATACGCGCCTCCTCCTCCACACTCTGACCTCAACCTATATGCTCCTCCTCCTCCACACTCTGACCTCAACCTATACGCTCCTCCTCCTCCACACTCTGACCTCAACCTATACGCTCCTCCTCCTCCACACACTCTGACCACAACCTATACGCTCCTCCTCCTCCACACTCTGACCTCAACCTATACGCTCCTCCTCCTCCACACACTCTGACCACAACCTATACGCTCCTCCTCCTCCTCCACACTCTGACCTCAACCTATACGCTCCTTCTCCTCCTCCTGCGCCACACTCTGACCACAACCTATAAGCTCCTCCTCATCCTCCTCCACACACTCTGACCACAACCTATACGCTCCTCCTCCTCCACACACTGACAACATACGGTCCTCCTCCTCCTCTTCTCCACACACTGTTGTATTTATAAATACGTGACATTCTAAAACCATGTGTTTTATGACCTGTCGACCACTGCGTGGGAGGCCAGTCTTTTTAATTTAATTTTAGGGGTCTACTTGTGCCAGCAACTAAACAACAGGTGGTTTCTACTGTTTGCCCTAAGCCTTGGCCCCTGCTGACTTCTGCACTATTGAACCCACTCCATCAGGAGTGGGTTGACGACTGGAGTCTGCCAGTCAATTAGATTGACATATGATAAGACACATAACCTTTCTTAACATATATTTACTTCATATTTTTGGTGATTTCCTGTACTTAGATATTAGATTAATTAGTGTGATGTGTTTGTACTGCACATGCAGGTCAGTTCTGTAGGAAAGCGGGCTGTTGGGACTAATGAGGGGATTTGTTTAGACAAGCAGGGATGAAGCCAGACCAGAGACAGCTGCCCGGAGACGTAGGTTAGAAAAGCATGAATTCTTTTTAGGTGCGGACGGGGGACGAGAAGAACAGATGGTGGAAGGCGGACCCTGAACCGGAAGCTGCCTGATAGGACACGCCCCTCCTTCCTGTTCTTTTTATATGCTCTGGCTGGAGGCGGGAACTGAAGAAGCAGACCAGTGCCAGAGAGGGACATGGATAGTATAGGAGCTTGTTGAATTTCT